GGTAATTCTTGTGGATTTAAGAAATCACAATAGCTCAGTTCAGATGTACTGTACCACAAAACTACAGTGACTGTGGTTTCCAGTTCAGACAAGCCATAAAAAATGCAAACTATTGTTTGCCAAGAACCAGGAACTATGGGATGGAATCTGATTGTGAGAAGGGGAGTGCACAAGGCAATGCGAAATCACATCAAGACAAAGGCACGGGAGAGTGACATCACCAAAGTACAGGAGATTCAAATCCTTTACAGCTTTAAAGATTAAAAACTAGCACCTTGGATCGTGCAAGAGAGACAACAGGGAGCAAATTCAGATACTGGACTACTTATCACTAAGAATGGGATCAACACATTGAGCACCACACGAACCTCTCAACAGTCTTCAACAAATTAACCTCTCAACAGTCTGAACAAATTAAGGCAGTCAATTCCCAGACGACTACAGGCAAGTATTCATTCACAGTATTAGCTTTTCCATACAGATTCTTCAAATATCAAATTATATATTTACACCATATCCATCAAATTGATGACTCTTAGGTATAAATAAGATTAAATCACTTTGGAAGACTTTGGAAGTTTAACACTGCCAACATAACTGCAGTAGGCTGCATACAAAAAAAGCATTTGGTAGCTCGCATTTATCCGGTACTTACAAGTCTTTGACTTTTCTTTAGGTAAAAGGCTGAGCACTGACAGACGAATGGAATCTCTTTTTGTGATGTGTTTCACAGGCTTTTCCAAGCACAATACATTCCATTTCTTCCAAGCAAACTTCTGTGGTTTGAAACCTGCAAAGCAGAAACGAATGTTGAATTTTAAAAAACCCTGACAGGAACTTTTGAATTCTCCAATGCTCTCCCCTCCATACATGTTTCTTTTTTGGAGTTCAGGGGCTCCTTTGTTAGGCTGCTGGAGGTATTCTTAACTTACTGCCCTTCTAACAGCCTCCGTCTGGAGGTTCTTGGTGGCTTTTCTGAAAAAGGAATATTTTGTGTTGCCCTGATTTCATAAACTTTACCCAGTTTTGTTACATTTATTTAAAACATTTTTGTTAAAATATTGTAAGATCCTCAAAACTTGCAACGATTATACACAGCTTATTTAAATAAAAACCAACTTATGTGACACGTTTAGCAAAAAGATGAATAAACCCTGCAGAGCTTTAAAAAATGAAAACAAACTCAGCACCACCACCATTAAAATCAACATTAATTTTAAGCTGACAGCCCACTGAAACAAAATTGTTTTAGGAGAGAAGAGATTGGATTTATACTCTGCCCTTCACTACCTGAAGGAGTCTCAGAGTGGCTTACAATTGCTCTCCCATCCCCTCCCCTCCCCACAACACACACCCTGTGAGGTAGGTAGGGCTGAGAGAGCTCTCCCGAAAAATGCCCTTCAGAGAACAGCTCTGAAAGAACTTATGACTGACCTAAGGTCACACCAGCAGCTGCATGTGAAGGAGTGGGGAACCAAATCCGGTTCTCCCAGATCAGAGTCTGTGCTCCTAACCACTACACTAAACTGGCTCTCAGTTAACCATCCCTCTGAAGACAAAAAATAATGCAGCAAACATGTCCTATGGAGGAGAGAATTCTAGTCATTGCAAATTCTCTGTAGTATTATTTAGATATTCTTCCTGTTTGGGTACACTGTGCACTGATAGTTTTGGTGTGGCCTCTCTTGTCTAAAAACTTGGGTACAATCAAGCTTCTGGAAGCCACTCTTGCAGGGATTGGCTAGGGGAAGCAGAAGAGAGCCTTTTTCCTACCTTCCACCCCACAATAAGCTCAAACTGGAAGTGTGCTGACATCACCAGTCTGCCACCACTCTAGGGAGAACAAGCAAGGAGATATATTCTGCAGGTTAGGAAAGGCACAAACAGGTATAGAAAAAACCCTGCATGGTTAACAAGCAAAGTAATGGAAACTGTAAAAGGTAAAAAGGATTCCTTTAAGCAGTGGAAAGCTAGTCACAGTGAGGCTAATAAAACGGAACACAGGCTACGGCAAATAAAATGCAAGTCTGTGGTCAGGCAGGCAAAAAGGGAATATGAGGAGCATATAGTGAAAAACGTAAAGACCAACAATAAAACTTTCTTCAAATACATTAGAAGCAGGAAACCAGCCAGGGAGGCAGTGGGGCCCTTGGATGACCAAGGGGTAAAAGGAGTACTGAAGGATGATAGGGAAATGGCTGAGAAGCTAAATGCATTTTTTGCCTCTGTCTTCACTGTGGAAGATGAGAAGTGCTTGCCCACTCCAGAACCACTGATTTCGGTACGGGTGTTGAAAGACCTGATTCGGATTGAGGTGACGAGAGAGGAGGTCCTAAAACTGATAGACAACTTAAAAACTGATAAATCACCAGGCCCAGATGGCATACATCCAAGAATTCTGAAAGAACTCAAATGTGAACTTGTGGATCTCCTTACAAAAATATGTAATCTTTCCTTAAAATCTGCCTCCATTCCTGAGGACTGGAAGGTAGCTAATGTCACTCCCATCTTTAAAAAGGGTTTCAGAGGAAATTACAGGCCAGTTAGTCCGATACCGGGTAAATTGGTGGAAACCATTATTAAGGAAAGAATTAGTAGGCACATAGATGAACAAAACCTATTGAGGCAGACTCAGCACGGTTTCTGTAAGGGAAGATCTTGTCTCACTAACCTGTTAATGTTCTTTGAGGGGGTGAACAAACATGTGGACAAGGGGGATCCAATAGATATTGTTTACCTTGACTTCCAGAAAGCTTTTGATAAAGTTCCTCATCAAAGGCTCCTAAGTAAGCTCAAAAATCATGGGATAAAAGGACAAGTCCTTTTATGGATCAAAAACTGGCTAATTAATAGAAAACAGAGAGTGAGTATAAATGGGCAATTTTCTCAGTGGAGGGTGGTAAGCAGTGGGGTACCGCAGGGATCAGTACTTGGTCCACTGCTTTTTAACTTGTTCATTAATGATTTGGAGATGGGAGTAAGCAGTGAAGTGGCTAAATTTGCGGATGATACAAAGTTGTTCAAGGTGGTGAAAACCAGTGAGGATTGTGAGGCACTCCAAAGGGATCTGTCAAAGATGGGCGAGTGGGCGTCAACATGGCAAATGGGGTTCAATGTGGCCAAGTGCAAGGTGATGCACATTGGAGCCATATATAAATCAATGGTGCGACCTCGTTTGGAATACTGTGTGCAGTTCTGGTCACCACACCTTAAAAAGGATATTATAGCTTTGGAAAAAGTGCAGAAGAGGGCAACTAGAATGATAAAAGGGTTGGAACACTTTCCCTATGAGGAAAGGTTAAAGCGCTTAGGGCTCTTTAGCTTGGAGAAACAATGACTGAGGGGTGACATGATTGAGGTTTATAAGATTATGCATGGGAAAGAGCAGGTAGAGAAAGAGGTACTTTTCTCCCTTTCTCACAATACAAGAACTCGTGGGCACTCCATGAAACTGCAGAGCGGTCGGGTTAGAACGGATAAAAGGAAGTACTTCTTCACCCAAAGAGTGATTAACACTTGGAATTCACTGCCACAGGAAGTGGTGGCGGCTACAAGCATGGACGGCTGCAAAGGGGAATTAGATAAGCATATGGAGCAGAGGTCCATCAGTGGCTATTAGCCACAAGGTATAGATAGGGACTCTGGGGCAAGTGATGGTCTGTCTTCTTGCTGCTTGGGGGGGGTCAACAGTGAGAGGGCTTCTAATGTCCTGGCCCCACTGCTGGACCTCCTGATGGCACTGGTATTTCTGGCCACTGTGTGTGGGAGCCTGGAAAATGAGGACTCTGCATCTTTAACAACCTCTGAAGCCCAAGAGTCCTCATCAAACCTAAGTGGAGGAACACCAAATTACAGGACAGCTGGCACCTGAAGCTGATCAGGCAATACCTGGCCCTAGCAGCTCACCACCCGACCTGCCGCCACCTGTGGACTGGCGACGATCGGTAAGCCCTGATTACTGACAGAAGCAAGGACTTCGCAAAGGAATGTTAACAAGATAACGAGCCAGCACAGTATTTGAAGAGACCACTGACTGCAAGCAAACTGTGCTGGCAACCTCGTCCGTGGACCAGAAGCTTTGCACCTCTAGCTCTGTGTTGACTCTTGACTGATCTCCAGGTTCCTGAAATCCGGTCCGTGTTTTGGCGATCCCTCTGGCTCCTGACCCCCGGCTATGCTTCTTGACTACGATACTGGACTCTGACTATTGGTAACATGTGACGACGGCTTGGATTTGTGTATTTGGAACTGTTTGCTTAGACTCTTGTTGCTCCCTCTGGCTGACTCTTGGACTTGCCTTTTGACTCTCCCTCTTTGCCCGGCCCCCTAGCACTGTCGTGACACCTGGTATTTTTGGCCACTGTGTGACAGAGTGTTGGACTGGATGGGCCTTTGGCCTGATCCAACATTGGCGTCTCTTATGTTCTTATATAGTACAGGCTTTACGTGTTCTTTTAACAGTATGTGGTGTAATGCCTAGACTAGAGTACACACAAAGCTGCCTTATACGGAAAGAAACCCTTGCTTCATCATGGTCAGTGTTGCCTATTCAGAACACCAGCAGCTCTCGGGGGCTTCAGGCAGAGGTCTTTCACATCACCCACTACCTGATCCTTTTTAACTGGAGATGCTCCGGGTTGAACCTGGGACCTCCTGCACGGCAAGCAGATGTTCTGCCACTGAGCCACAGGCCTCCTTGGACTACAACTGGCGAGACCTGGATTTAAATCTCCTCTGCCCTAAAGCATTCTGGGTCACCTTGGGCCAGCCATTCTCAACCTGACCTACCTCTCAGGATTGTTGGTGTCAAATGGAGGAGGGGACAACCACACATGCAACGTAGAGCACCTTGGGGGATGGGCAGGGGAGAAAAATATAATGAATACATATACACAATGGTAAGATAGCAAATGTTGTATGGATGAGAAAATACGAAGAAAGGCGCTTTCTGAAAAGTCTTAATAGCAAGGGTTTCAAAGCAAAAACATATACCACAGTACCTCTTATCCATTGGAAAATTAAATCCATTAGTTCATCTTTAAACTCATCACCAAAATGAGAATTGGGAAAAGCTTCATAGAAAGTAAGATAGATGGCTTGTGACAAGCAGTCAGGATACATCTGCCAGAAAATGAATTAAGCTTAATTTATGCAACATAAAAACATTTTAAAAGTTGGCAGCAACTACATTTAAAAAGCAAATAAAATAAACAATGAACTCAGAAAATTTAAATACATTTGAGTCTTTATGTGGGGGGGGGAGAGTACCACCTCTGTCAAAGTACACAGAAAACACACTAGTTTAACGCCTCGCAAAGCAATGTGGAAACTGAATCTGCCAGGTATATTAGCAAACATGGACAGTATCCATGAGGAAGATTCTATCTACTAACACGAACCATGGGAAGACCAAAGCAGTATAATCACCCTAGGGCAGCTGTATGCACAGTACCAGTGACCAAACAACTCAAAGTCCAAACTACACATTCTGGGAAGAAGTTATCCCCATGGACAGTGTGCAGCTGGGAAAAAATGTATTGTACGATTTAATCACAGTTGCATTTCCCTGTCCCTTTCTTTCCCCCATGGCATCCCAACGAAGCAGAACAGAGAAGCACAAGTGTGATATGTGGGGTTGGGGGGTGTCCAACTGTACTTTAGCAGGAAGGCACAGGCCCATATGGGTCCTCACAGCAGTCACTCACAACAGCACAAACACAGATGGGAGAAGGACTAGAAGGCAGAACACTGCTGCATAGAAAGGACACAATAGGTGGCAGATCACATTAGAGGACCACAGAGCAATTATTTTCCTTTGTTCACTTCTCAGAGAACTGGGAAAGCAGAATTAGAGCAAGACCAGTTTGTGTGTAACTGCAAAGTATGGATCATTATGTGCACTGTTACCTGAAAGAAAGGATCTTTTATGTAATTGGGAGTACTCAACAGAAGTGCCACAAAGCTGTCTGATATTCTGTCAAAAAGGTGATCCTGTTCTCCTTGGTCAGGCTTGAAATAATCAGGAAAAGGTATGGTCAGAATTCCCATTTCACATATTGAACAGCCATGCTTTGACACTCCAAGTAAACACAAAAGCTCTTTCAAAAATCTTGAAAGCTTGCCAGAGGCACAAGCCAAAGGACTTGTGGCTCATTCTTAACCTGTGGTTTGTTGCTTGTGGCCTAGCTGTGTTAGTAGGAACCGAGGCAAATTCCCTCATCGGGACATTAGCAGGATGTTGAAGTGGGCATCTGGATTAAGCCAGCATCACTCACCAAAGCCTCAAGATGGCTACAACTTTGAGGAAAGGTGAACAAAATCATCTAACCCTCCTATCTGTACTGTGTTTGTCTGAATGTCATGCTTGGATTTTATTGTCACACTGTTACCTGCCTTGGGTCCCACAATGATGTGGGAGAAAGGAGAGAGGTAAACATTTAAAATAAACAAATGAACAGGTATTTGGAACAAAGTTTGGACCAACATGAGACTGGGGGGTAAGGTCATGTCTATGCTCTTGAAAGATAGGGAGGTTACCAGACAAAAGGAGGACATCAGGAAGGAGAAAAATGAAACGTTTTCATTGAACCTTGCACCTCTCCCTGACTTCATGCCTCTGCTGTTACCTTTCCTGTGCTAAGCAACTGGTTGTCAAAAGCCTCTTTGATTGTCTCTCATACCAGCTGTGTTAACACATCATAGGCAGAAAAATTAAGGAAGATACAATTGTAATGCAAATGAGTATTCTAGCAAGTACAGTTTTCATTCCCAGTTGGAGCTCCATGAATGAAATGCCCAAATATTATGCAAGGATGACTGGGAATCAGATGTGAGCTTCCTAATGTATGGTAAAGGTAAAGGTTCCCTTGCTCGAAAGCCAGTCGAATCCGACTCTAGGGTTGCGGTGCTCATCTCCGTTTCAAAGCCGAAGAGCCAGCGCTGTCCGAAGACGTTTCCGTGGTCATGTGGCCGGCCTGACTAAACACCAAGGCGCACGGAACGCTGTTACCTTCCCACCAAAGTGGTACCTATTTATCTACTTGCAATTTCTTGCTTTCGAATTGCTAGGTTAGAGATGGGAGCTCACTCCATCATGCGGCACCCGGGTCTCGAACTGCTGAACTACTGACAGCCTGCAGTTCAGCGTCTTAACCACTTGAGCCACCGCAGCCCTTAAATGAGTGTTAGCCATTCCTTCCCATACACAAGGGAAGTTACTTTGTACTTTTCTCTCCAGGCCGCAGTTATTTTTGCACTAAAGTCCATCTAAGCAAGCTGAGATTCACTCTTGTTCTACAAAAAGAAACTTTACATATCCACATTTATTTTTTCAAAAAAACTTCAGGAATAAATATAAAACTTAATTTCTTTGTACCTTGAACTTCTGAAGAAACCACCACCAAAAGCAATCCTGTAAAAGTGCAATGGATGCTTCTGAGAGAAACAATTTCTTCAGAACTTTTAAATTAAGTCCATGCTAAAACATGAAAGACAGGCATACATGAATAATAAAATAAGGAACTGGAACTTCATTTATTTCCAATACTGTCATCAGAATCACAGCCCTCAAATCACATGAGTTTAGAAGGCGATAAACGTCAGAAAAAATTCTGATGGGCAAAGGAGCATTGCTCGTTGATATTATCAACTAATATTCTTTTTGCACCCATGAAACAAATAACTTGAACTTTAAAGGATAAATTGTACTTCATTAAGGACTATAGTACTGGTCTACCAGAATACTTGACAGCTCCACAGCTGTAACCTCATATAACCCTCCCCCTCCCCAAACTGACCCCAAATAATTGCTTAGGTCAATACTCATTTTCTCAAACAGCAAGCTATCGTTTTATGCTCTGTAACTATAGCATTTATTAAATTAGATTAAAAATTGCTTTTGGTTGTTAATGCTGCAGTACCAGCTTCCACTGAGGATTTTTTTTAACATCCTAAGTAATTTTTGGCTTCCAGAACATTATTTATACAAGTATAAACTGACACAAATTCTATACGAAGGCCTCTTATTTAAACAAAAAGTAACCCACATAAGTCATACACAATAACTGCAAACCATCAGGCTACCCCCTCCCCCTACCCATGGAAATGAAGTCTAGGTCTTCTTGTACTTGACACTACTTGGCCCTGAGCAAATGGCAGGAAATTAATAGTTACCACAATAAATAAACCTGACACTTTGTCAAAGTGTGTGAATTCCAGAAAAAGAGGGAGTCCATAAATTACATCATGCTTACGAATTTGCAGTTATTATCTCAGACAAGCATTGAACCACTGATTCAAAAAAATATAACTGGAAAACCGTAATGAGGAAACAACGAGGGGATGGTCTAAAACTCAAACATCACCTCTTAAGTCATGCATTAACAGTGCTTGAGGCATGCATTAATCCTAAACGCATGTCAAGATTGTTACAGTGCAATCCTAAAACTGGTTTCGTAGGAGTCAGCCCCACCAAACAAACCTGAGTAAGGTTCCTCTTAAGATTGTTCTGTAGGACTACTATTACCCCTCTAAGTTAGAGGACGTGGGCCCCAATCCACAGAACAGTGGGGATGGCAGCACTCAGGCCCGCTGAGCACTTGTTTGGTTATTGGGGTGGGGGGCTAGACACAATTTCACCACATGCTTCAAGCAGCTGATTGCTACTATATATACTGAGCATGGCAATTAAATATAGGGCAATCATGAGCACAGACCTAGTGTATCCCAAAGCACTATGTGCAGTTACAGATGCTGCACATGGTATTTTTAAAAATCAGCTACGGCCTTTTCCTTTGCTGACGTGGAGTCCCTTCTGGAGAATGACTAATTCTGGAGAAGGGTCAGATCATATCTGGTGATTCCCAACACCATCCCAAAATCTGAAAAACTAGCAGGAACAGGGCTACCTTTCTCCTGTGTTTTCAGACCCACTATTTTAATGTGTCAAACAGAAAAGATTTAATTGAGTGCATATGAGGCAACTAACTGAATAAAGATGTTCTAAGGATTAATCTCTAATTTTATCAAATCCTGATTGAACTTGACTAAAAGGGCAATAATAAACAGGCATACATATAGGAAATAGAGGGGAAAAGAATATCTGAATGTTTTGTTTATGATTATATCCGGGCTACAGCCTATGCCCTCTCCACTTTCTATTTGTTTTTTTAATCTATTATAAACCATTCTACATGTGAGATTTAATACTATATAAAATAGATGGAATTAACCACCAAAAAATGAGAATAACTCTCATTAGAGAGGATGCAGCAAATAGATTATTCCCCATACTGCACTGCAAAAACAAAGGAAATCAAGATTCTTTTTGTGCTGTACTGAGGGGAATATTCCTCCACACCAGAAAATCACTAGACAAAAAGAATCATGGCAGAACTGTATGTACAATCACAGCAAGATAACTTAATTGCAGAGTTTTATCACACACATCTACTGATAACTCAGAACAAGAGAAAAGAGACAAAAGGAACAGAAAATCCTGTACAAAATTCAGAAATAAAAGAACAAAACAACAAATGATTTTTAATGCATTCGTTCCACTTCAAAAATAAAGACAAGGTTACTTGGAACTCCAAAACTAACAGAGAAATTCACTTGAAGCAGAATTTTGGAAACATCCCTAACTATTTTCAGCTTTTCCCAGGTACTGCCTGAGGCACTACCAAAGCCTGCTAAATTAGTTTGGCCCAAAGATCATGGCAGGACAGAAATAATGTGTGTACTACAAACAAGTCCAGTTCAGCAACACCACTTCCAGCTCTATGAAAAGCTGCTGTCTGTACAGCGCCCTGTAAACAATTGAATAATCACGAACATAAGAATGAAAAAATACTGGATATCTCTCTGAAGTGAGCCTGCCAAAGCAAAAACAATGAAAAGCAATTCTGTTTCTAGATTTTTCAAACATCCTTGAAGTACACCAGGAAAAACAAAAACACATAGAAATTAAAACAGTGAAGCAGTTAAACACATAGTAGCTTCAGATGTAAGTCAAGAAAGTTGTTGTAGTATTTTAGATCATTGGTTTTTGCTACACAAGTTAAAATAACAAAGCACATACTTTGAAAGTTTGAACTTTTAGAACTGAATCCCAAAGCTGGGCAGCTTCTAGTTGACACGGCAGATCTGTAAGGTGATGTGACTGGAAACCAGGGAACTTGTAATTCTAAAAAGAAATGGACATTCACTTAAATAACTATCCTCTAATTATTTATTGTAGACATTATTTTATAAAGCAGAAGTGCCAAATACAGTCAGTTGGTGAAGTGACTGATATTTTAGGCAGAGATTGTTATCTTTGAAATGAGTACCCATAGAGAGTGTAAGTATTTCTGAGTAAATGAGTGCCAGCGTTAACAGCTAGAATGTCAAACGACAACAGGAGACCCAGGTTCAAACTGCCGCTCTCCCACTGAACTCACTCTGGCCGTGGGCCAGAGGCTATTTCTCAGACCAGCCTACCTCACAGAGCTGTTGGGAAGCCAAAACAGAGGCAAGAACAACAAAGAAAGTTACTCTAAGCTCTTACATGGTAGGACACAAATGCAGAAGACAGAAAGAGAGAATAACATGGAAAGAGGTAAGTGGGAAATATTATTCTATTTATCTGCACTGGAGTGCACACCTAACATTTTAAAAAGGGGGCAGCACAGTTACTCTCACGTTGCTTTGGAGCAAGAGAATCCACTCTAAAGTCCCCTGTCCCCCCATTCCACATGCTAGAACTTGCAGAAAATGCTTTATTGCCTATGAAAGGGCACTTGCAAAGGCTAAAATATGGTACAGTACCATATGCTTTGAAATGATTACTTGGATAAACAGAAGGTTGTATTCAACCAATTCCAGGACAGCTGCCTTGGCAAATCAAGTTAGAATTCTATATGATTTTGTTTAAACTAGCTTTTTTAGCTTGACTCTATCATCTATGCTACGGTTTAGATCCTTGTCTCTCTCTTATGCCGAAGGCCATGCACCAAATTAGCGGGAAGTCTGTTTCTCTTCTCTGTTAAATACGTGTGTGTGTGAGATCGCTTACAAACAAAAGTTCATTGTAGACTTCTCACTTTTCTCAACATTGAATTGGTGGATGGGGGCACCAAGTCATGATTTGCCTTCAGATGACAAAAACCCTTGAGCCAGCTCATGTTTTGTAACATGAAGTCATATAAACATACTTGGCAAAATTACCTCTGCTCTTTTACACCTCGAATCTTGCGTGGTTTCTGAGTCAAACTGAAAGATATTTAAAACAAAGGCACTGAAAATTCACGATAAAAACACTGTACAGTGGGGGAGGGATCACATAACGCCTTCTTCACTGACAATGGAAGCAATCCTAAGGAGGTCTACTCAGAAGTAAGTCCCATTTTATTCAGTGGGACTTACTGCCGGGAAAGTGTCCTTAGGATTGCAGTCAATGTTTAGAATAAAAATGCTGATTTCTGAAAACATATAATGAAGACATTGTGCAAAATTAAAACTGTGCTATCTTGTCAAATCACATGATGACCTTTGCAGTAGCAACTTTTACATTCTTCCATGTTTTCCTGTGGATTGAGATTTATTGTGGGATGAGGGTTTGCATAAACGACTCCGGTTGCAAAAACAGTAAAGACAATAAATAAATAATCATGCTCTCTTATCTACATAACTTCACCTGTACGGGCTTATATTTATTTATTGTCTTTAGATCAAAGTGGGCAGCTGTGTTGGTCTGAAGCAGTAGAACAAAGTGTGAGTCCAGCGGGGGCACCTTTAAGACCAACAAAGTTTTATTCAAGGTGTGAGCTTTCATGTGCACGCCACACTTCATCAGACACAATGAAATGGAATCACAGATCACAGTTGTCTATATAGAGGGTGGCTTGTCATCCTCTATATATTCAACTATGATCTGTAATTCCATTTCATTGTCTGACGAAGTGTGCGTGCACATGAAAGCTCACACCTTGACTAAAACTTTGTTGGTCTTAAAGGTGCCATTGGACTGTAACATTGTTCTACTGTTTTTGCAACCGGAGTCACAAACAGCCAACCTTCATTCCACAATAAACTTCATTCCACTGAAAAATATGGAAGAATTTAAAGGTTGCTACTGCAAAAGTGTGTGGGCTTTTAAAAACAGAATCTCATATTACAGGGCTTTGTTTTACTGTGAGCAGGGTGGGAGAATCACTGACTGTGAGAGCCACACGAAACACATTATCTGTCCAAGGCCTTCACTGAAAAACAACTGGGCATTGCCATTAAATGCCAAAACTTACCATTTTGACAATCGGTGCACTTTCCTAATTGAGTCTTGGCTGCTGCAGAGAAGTATTCAGACTTAATACCTTGAGTAGTGTGATTGTTGACCATTATTAGAACCTTACCTACCCTGCCACTTTATACCACCAGTTTGACCACCCTTTCAAAGACACTCTGTAACCGTGGTTTGGCAAGTGTGTTCTGAATTCTCCTTTCCCTGCTCCTCTACAGTCCTCTACAGGCGAGAGTGAATGCAAAAACCACTGTATTGACACAGCATAGCTATGCGATCCCTTTTTCCAACAGACCAAACTAAAGATTCCCAGTTTGGTTCCCGTGGGCACTAAGGAAACCCACAGATGTGTTGGCCCACTTGCCCCTTCACCAGAATGCCTCATCCCCGAAGCAAAATGCTCATCTTGACTTTCCTTTGCCTCTCTGGAACAGAAGACCCCGAGGGGCATCACCTCTGGGTCTACAGGGAACATTTGTACAGAAATAGCTGCCCCCCATCACAGCAGGATGCTTGGCCTGGAACTTCCAAGCTTTTGGGGATTAGCCCCACCCTCCCATGACAGCCATCTGTGACTGGTCCCAGCTCCCATGGCAGCCATTTTGTGGTGGCACCCATTACCCTCTCGTAAAATTCCTAAGGTGCCCACAGGCTCAGTGGGGTTGGGAATTCCTGGCCTGAACTTAATCTTATTCTGGCAGAACGAACTGGTTTGTGCTGCTGCAATTAAAGAAACAATTAACAAGACATCCAAGTTCTATTATTTCCCTGGGAAACCAATGATGTGATCCCTTAATTTCAGGAAAACTGCATTATGTTGAATACAACATTTTAGCACAGGAAACTATCTATGGCTCCTCCTCCACCATGACAGTGTTGCGTAAACGCTCTTGATAGGTCTGCCTGCATGGAAGCTCACCACATTAGGCTATTACAGTGAGAATAACCAGTTCATCACTGACTTTTATTGCCCAGGTGGGCTGGGGAGGGGACACCCTTGGCACTCAGTAGCATTGACCAAGCCCTCAGTTGCCGGAGCAGCATACTGCAGGGAGAAGGATGAGGACTAGTATCTCCCAGCACTGTCTCATACACAGGCCAATGAAGCCAGAAGTAATGCTGGCCAAGCTCGGAGCCAGGGTGGATCTGTGCCAGTTTTGGAATGCTGCCAGTATCTCACACCAAAGTTAGGATTTTTTAAAAGCAATTAATTTTTTAAAACTGAAAATAGGGTGTGCACATATGTGGAGGAAGGGTATACTAATAAAAAAATAAACTACCTTCACTTTCTTTTTCTTCTTTGTCATCACCAAAAAGTCCTTTGAAACAGCAGCTGAAGGCTCAACAGCTTGAAGAGAACAATAACGGATGCAACAAATTTAACATTTAACCCCTGATTGGCAGTCTCAGATCCAGTGTTTTGCCTCCTCTTTGCCTTAAGTTCCTTTCAAATTTGCATAGTCAAGGAATCTTCCATGACTACTATTAGAAAAGCTAGGCAGCTGCTGAGTCTAGGACTGCAATCTGAAGCAAAAAACTTGTGCTGAGGGTGATTATCTAGGGGGAGGGTTTAGGACTCCCCCCCCCACCACAACATTTTTTTCTCTTCCAACTGCAGCCCAGCCTTGTGTAAAAACAAAGCAAAAAACACCTCTAAAAAGCAGCACAGCACTATATGTTTTGCCCCCAAAATCACTGAAAATGGTTCATGAAATCTGGTAAATGGACTAGACTGGTGTCGAATTGATCTATTTAATCAAATTTTCTACAGCTGAGGATCTGGACCATGGAACTAGGGTTCCCAAATTGGGCCGGGGGGCAGGGAATCCCCCGCTTTGATGGCCCGATTTTCAACGGGACAAAAATCGGGCCCGGGGAAAACCCCACCCCCGCGTGCGCGTCACCCGGAAGTGACGTTGCACGCTGGGGGCGGGGCCACACCTTTTGAGGGGAAAACAAAGAGTTTTCCCCTCAAATGGCGTGGCCCTGCCCCCAGCATGGAACTATTCTAATTACATAGCTGGAGTTAATGATGGATTGCAGCCACAAATCCCGAACTAAAATGTCTCAAAAATTATTTCAAAAGAAAGCAGAGGTACTTGAGGGACTGGTGCCAAATGACAGAAAGTGAAACTCCTTTTGTTTGATCATTAAAAACATTGTGGTGCTTAAGTGGTTAAAACGCTGAAATGCAGACCGGAAGGTTGGTAGTTCAGCAGTTTGAGACCCGAGTGCTGCATGACGGAATGAGCTTCCGTCTCAGGTCCCAGCTCCTGCCAACCAAGCAGTTTGAAAGCAAGAAATTGCAAGTAGATAAATAGGTACCACTTCGGTGGGAAGGAAACAGCGTTCTGTGCTCCTCGGCATCTGGTCATGCTGGCCACATGACCACAGAAACATCTTTGGACAGCACTGGCTCTTCAGCTTGGAAACAGAGATGAGCACCGCACCCTAGAGTTGGATTCGACTGACTTTCGAGCAAGGGAAACCTTTACCTTTAGTGCTACAATAAACTGTTCTGCCATATCTTTAGGTGATATGTAAACTGGCTTTTAAAAGCACTTTGGCCATTCAGAATGCTGCTTCCCTTCTGGTCTGAGTCACCATGCTTTTTGAGTCTCATTTTCGGATCACCAATTCCATCAAAGAGGATACATCTGTTTTTTCCCCTACTTGTGCCAAATATCCCTGGCCTCCAAACAGGGTAATGGTGCAGACTTTGTTTAAAAATCCAGCATATTAATGAATGCAGATAAGTGGATGCAAGATGGCTTATAATGTATTATTTGCTTGTGTAGTGTCTTGTCTGAATGCACTCCAGACACAATGCTGGTTGCACGGCTGTGTTTAAAGGCACAATCTAACTGCATTAACATGGTGAAATTAATTTTCTACTGTGCACATGTACATCAGCATTGTTTACTGGATAGAAACTCAAGTTATCTTTTTCAATGTACATTGACCTTGAGGGGAGGATCTTAAAACATCTGAATAATCAAATAATTGGTTTACTTAGCATTGCACTGACTTACATGTAAGAACGTGCAGAGAAAATTTTGATAACTGGGTCTTTCACAGTGCAATCTTATGCAAAGACACTCCACCCTAAGCCCATTGATTTCACTGCAAGACAGCCAAGTTCAGAAAATACACTACATATACATATTAGCTTGATTCTTTGTTTGGGAAGGGGATGTGGCTCAGTGGTAGAGCATCTCCTTGGCATGCAGAGGGTCCCAGGTTCAAACCCTGGCATATCCATTTAAAAAGACCAGGCAGCAGGGGATGTGAAAGACCTCTGCCTGAGTCTCCGGAGAGCTGCTGCCAGTCAAAGTAGACAATACTGAACTTGACAGAATCAAGCATCTAACTCAGTATAATGCAGCTTTGTGTGTTCCAGAGGTCATTTCGGGGGGTAACGTGGGGGAACACAGTTCCCCCGGGTGAGGTACGGGGGGGGGCACATGATGAAACCCCGCCCCCTGCTTCCGGCCGCCCCGCTTCCGGCCCTCATTCAGCCAGGAGGACGCAGGAGAAGAGGGAAGGTAAGTTGCTTCCTCCCTGCCTCTCCCCACCCCTGCCTGCCTGGGGCCAGGGAGGGCCTTCGCGGGGCTTCCTTGCACTCCCGCCGGCCTTGCAGGTCCACCGCCAGGCCCCTCATGGGGCTCGGCAGTGGAGCTGCAAGGCCGGCGGCGGCTGGGACCGTTGGGGGCGGGGTGTGTGGCCTTATGACACACTTCCGGTGATGTCAGGGGGTGTGGCCTTATGACACACTTCCAGTGATGTCAGGGGGTGTGGCATATGCTAATGAGTTATGCTAATGAGTTCCCCTAGCTCTTTTTCTACGAAACGACCCCTGGTGTGTTCCTTCTAAATCATACACAGTACATGGTGTCCTTGGGCTTCCTTTCAGAAATGGTACATTTAAAAATAAGAGTATGTTTCAAAGTGTGAAACAGTCGGTTCTTTCTTACCAATAACTAAAGGGATAATTAGATACCTTGCTCCAGGAAATACTGTTCTTTTCCCTCTTCGCTACCTTCCAAATGAACTATTTTTTTAGCATGTTCATGGACTTTAATTTTACATTCCTCCACCTTCTCCTCCAAGTTGGAGAGCTTTTCAGTTGAAAGAGGAACATTGTCATAAAGATACTTAGCAATGTTGTCCAAGGAATAGTCATTTCTTAATGTAGCAATCAAAGGACGAACATCCACTTCTGGCCCGTAAGGGAATCTTGGCCACTCATCCTACAATAATCAGTTACAGAAAATAACATGATCATCAATTACGTTAAACAGCACTTCTGAAAAAAAATGTCAGAAACGCACTGTGAAGTCCAGCTTGTTTCAGCGGCGGAGATGCCTGGGGCCACAAAACATAGGCAGACTACTCATGGAGAAACACAGAGAAGAAAGTGACTTATACAAGGTCTGCTGAGGCAACTTCATGGATGAGCAGGGGCTTGAAGCCTGGCCCAAGAGTAGCACTCCATCATGTTTCTAACTGCATGATAAATTAGTCAAGTCAGACAAATTCTATGTCATCGATATCACTCCAGCTTAATTTGAGAGGCAATGTACAATGAAGCATATACAAAAGTAAGATGGCTTCTAAACCACCCTCAAAACCTACATTCCATCAATGTCAGCCCCAGGAGTGCCTCAACATTGAAGGTTTCCTGTACTTGCATTCCATAGCCTGAGGATCTGAAATACAATCCTCATTCAGACTGGCTTCTCAGCATTTACATACATAAGGTCCTCCCCGTTTATTGTCCTGTCCCTTCCCCACCATTAGGATTTTTCTTTAAAATGTACCTACCAAGTTGCAAGAATGTAAAAATTCCTCAAATGAACGAGGAGGTTCTTGCATTTTCTATAAACACACGAAGACCCACTTGCCTTCTGAAACAACAAAAACCACATTAAGAAAGAAAATGCATTTTATTACCTGCTTCATTTAATAAACAATAAGTTTGTATGCCTACATTCATAAAGACTTGGTTAAGAACCAGCAGCTACTGAGATTTCCTTTCTTTTCCCTAGATTTAACAGCCATTTCTCCTGCCAACCTAGCAGTTCGAAAGCAAGAAATTGCAAGTAGATAAATAGGTACCACTTCGGTGGGAAGGTAACAGCGTTCCGTGCACCTTGGTGTTTAGTCATGCCGGCCACATGACCACGGAAACGTCTTCGGACAGCGCTGGCTCTTCGGCTTTGAAACGGAGATGAGCACCGCAACCCTAGAGTCGGATTCGACTGGCTTTCGAGCAAGGGAACCTTTACCTTTACCTTTTTAACAGCCATTGCTATTCACCCACAGTTTCTCACACACACAAAAGTGAGGATGAAAGTCAGTTCCCTCTTGACACCACAAAAAGAAAAACTGCCACATCCCTCACACAGTTCACCAATCTACTTGACAGCAGATAGCGCAGGGTCCACTTCTCAGAAAGTGTTGTTAGCTGTTTTATCCAAGGTGTAATATATTTGTGTCACGCAGTATTGTTTTGGGGACATGCTAAAACAAAATGAACTAGGGAGTCGACTTTGTTAGATCGCGCTAACAAAGGACTCGTAGAGTGATTCAGCAAGTGATTCAGCTTTATTTAGAAGTAACGAACAAGCACTAACTCAGTAAGAAACCAGAACAGAAAACAGTGGGAGCTTATGCTCCTTTTAAACATAACCGGGCTAATGTAGCCACGCCTATTTACATTTAACAACCAATGAGGTTGCTAGGATAAAGACCAATGGGAGTCTTTCCCTCCTAGGGAATGGTATCGTTCTGATTGGTCGCTGTTACGAAGCGACCAATAGGAAGTTCGCTCAGAGGAGCCCTGGTCTGGCTCGAAGCTTAACATGGGAGTCCTATGAGGTGATTCATGTAATCATTTCAATACATTACAATTCCTCCCCCCTAAGTTAAGCCATCATCCCAATTGTTTTATTATTTACATACATTCAAGTCATGCTGTTGTACATCAACTGTTCCAAAATACCTTATTACAATCGTAGTCTTTTAGATAAGTCGGCATCTGCCGCGTACGCTGAGACCTGCGAAGCGGTGCAGGCTCTATGGGCACACAAGGTTGTGAGTCACTGTGGGGTTCACTACAGCCTGGTTCAGGCACCAACTCTACTGGGATTTCAGCCCCGCACACAGGGTTCTGCCCTGACTCGGGGACAGTACCGGGCCTTTCGGTACTCACCGCCTGCTCTGGGGGTGTCCACTCGACATCAGGGGATTCAGCCGTCGGAGAGTCAGCGCTGTCCCTAGCCCAACGTCTCCTTAACTGATCTATGTGGCGCCGCCATATTCGACCGTCAGCTAACTGCACCACATACATTCGAGTACCCACAGAGTCGGATATAACCCCAGGAAGCCACAAGTGCCCGTTTGCATAATTTCGTGCGAAAACCTTGTCCCCTTTTTCAAACATGCGCACCTTCGGTTGCGCAGTGGTACGCTCGGACTGATCTTCTGATAGGTCTGGGTGCATACGGTTCAAACGGGTCGTGAGTCTCCGCCCCATTAACAATTCGGCCGGACTACGGCCTGTAGCACTACAGGGGGTGGTGTGCTGCAGCAAAAGAAAGGAGCCCAGCCTCTGGCTCCAGTCCCCTTCGTCCATTTTACCCAGGGCCTCTTTGGCCGTCCTGACCATCCGTTCGGCTTGGCCATTAGATGCCGGATGGAAAGGGGCCGAAGTCATTTGGCGTATGCCATTACTCGTGAGGAAGAGCCTAAATTCCTCAGACACAAATTGAGGCCCGTTGTCACTGACGATGACGTCAGGCAACCCGTGGGTGGCAAAAAGTCGGCGGAGCGCATGGATCACAGCAAGTGATGTGGTCGATTTCATATGCACGACCTCCAGCCATTTGGACATAGCGTCCACCACAATTAGGAACATTTGCCCTTGGAGAGGGCCAGCAAAATCTATATGCAATCTGGCCCAGGGTTTACCAGATGACTCCCAGCCTTGGGGTGTAGCTTGTGGGGGATCGGGTCTGACTTGCTGGCATTTGGGACACCCTCGTACCCATTCTTCGATCTCTTTGTCCAGCCCCGGCCACCAGACATACCCTCTGGCCAACGCTTTGGTGTGTACCATACCGGGGTGACCCTCGTGCAGCGACTCTAACACTCTCGTCCTGAGTTTGTCAGGAACCACCACCCTGTTCCCCCATAATACACAGCCCTTAGAAATGGATAGTTCATTTTGACGGCTTTTGTAAGGGCCGAACTCCGGTTCAACGCTTCCAACCGGCCACCCCCTCCAAACCCAGTTTAATACTCGGGACAGCACGCTATCCTTGGCCGTGTGTGCTGCAATGTCCCTGGATGATACCGGGGGTCGAGGAAGCTCCTCAATTGCCAAGACCTCACAGGCGGGGGCAGGGTCTGCGCCAATGTCCGGCACCGGGCACCGGCTGAGGGCATCCGCATGCCCAATCGCTTTCCCAGGCCGGTGCTCTAAGTCAAAATCATAAGCCTGCAAAAATATCGCCCATCTAAGCATGCGTGGGGACATGATGTTTGGCAATTGCTTATCGGGCGCAAAAATCCCCAGTAGCGGCTTGTGGTCAGTGACCAGCAAAAATCGTCTGCCAAAAATAAAATCATGGAACTTTTTGACAGCCGCTACCAACGCCAGACCCTCCTTGTCTATCTGGGCATAGTTCCGCTCTGCCGCAGATAGTGATCTAGAATAAAAAGCGATAGGCGCTTCGCTCCCATCAGGCATCAGATGGCTTAAAACTGCGCCTACTCCAAACGGTGAAGCGTCAGCAGCTAACACCAGGAGCTTGTGTTCATCATAATGCGTGAGTACGGCATTAGATGTCAGCAGCTCCTTGACTCCCACAAAAGCCTTTTCCTCGGCCTGCCCCCACTTCCATTTTGCCTCCTTGTGCAAAAGCGCGTGCAAAGGGGCCGCCACTGATGCCTTATGCGGTAAAAACGCATGATAAAAATTCAGGAGTCCTAAAAAGGATTGGAGCTCCTTCTTACTCACCGGCCTGGGGGCGTTTTGGATTGCAGATACCTTCTCATCCGTGGGGTGGACTCCCTCTGCGTCAATGCGAAACCCCAGGAAGTCCACACTTTCCACCCCGAGCGTGCATTTTGAGCGCTTAACTCTGAGGCCGGCATTTTGAAAACGCCTGAGGACCTCTTTAACCCGGTCCAGTAGTTCCTGTTCAGACCCGCCCGCAATCAGCACGTCGTCAAAATAGGGCACTGTGCCAGGTACCCCCCTTAGTAGACGTTCCATGAGGCCCTGAAAAATCCCAGGTGCTACGTTGACCCCGAATTGCAGCCTGTTCACTTTAAAAGCCCCTTGGTGGGTTACAATTGTTTGGGCCTCGGCAGCCTCCGGGGTGACAGGCAACTGCTGGTATGCCTGGGCCAGGTCAAATTTGGCGAAAATCTTGCCACCCCCCAGGGAAGCCAAAATGTGGCTTATTACCGGGACCGGGTACGAATGTTGCTGCAGCGCCTTGTTAATCGTACATTTGTAATCGGCGCATAGTCGTATGGACCCATCTGATTTGACAGGGGTTACGATCGGGGTCTCCCATTTGCTGTATGGTACTGGCTCTAAAACCCCTTGCTCAACTAGTTTGTCAATCTCTTTTTCCACCTTATGTTTGAGAGACACAGGTACTTTCCGATACTTCAACCTAATAGGTTTGACTGACGGATCTAAGTCAAACGCAACCGGGGGGCCCTTGTACCTTCCCAACCCTTCGGCAAATACATCAGGGAACAGGTCGTACAGCATGCCCCATTTATTTTCAGACATCCTGTTAATCCCAGAAATACCGATGCCCAATGGCTCAAACCAATCTAACCCTAGCAGGTTAACCCGGTCTCCCTCTGCAATCAGGAATGACAGTTTAACACATTTCCCCTTATACTCAACAGTAACAGAGTCCCGTCCGGCCAAGGGAATTCGGTTGCCCTGGAAGTCGGACACTCTGGTTCCCGCAGGCTGGAGCCGCCGCCGGCTTCGGTTCGGGAACAACTGGCGCCAGGACGCGGCAGAAATCACCGTCACGGACGATCCTGAGTCCACCTCCATTGTACAGGGTCGGCCGTCGAGGAGTGGAGTCACGGTGATCTTGCCCTGGCTGCTGGTGCGATTTACGGCCGATGCGCTCGACAAGGTCGCCGTCAACTGGCAGCTTGCTTCCGATGCTGAGGAACGGGTCTTGCCTTGGGTGCTGACTGGAGTGCCCCTCTGCGCTGACCGGTTGTTAGTTGAGGGATCCTTCTTCGCTGATCTGCAGACTCTGGCCAGATGACCACGCCGCCCACACGCTCTGCAGTCGACATCACGAGCCCAACAGGAGCCGCGCTGGTGCTTCCCGCCACAACCGGAGCAAGGCTTGACGTTGGTAGTCTTCGCTGGGGTCCGCTTGCCTCGAACCGCGTTGACGTCATCATCCGCGTCTTCGCCCTCGCTGTCTCGTTGAGCGTGTATACTGGGCTCTGCCACCCGCTGGCGGACCTCCTTCGTGGACTTCTCCGCTGCTTCCGCGGCCACGGCCTCTTCGTAGGCCACTGCCCAGGTCAGGGTGGTGCGGGCGAACAGCCTCTGTTGCAGCCTTTCATCTTTGAGACCGCAGACGAGACGGTCTCTGAGGGCTTCCTCCACGTTGTGGAAATTACATGGCCGTGCGGCTTTGCGAAGGGCCGCCACGAAATCTGCGATGGTCTCGCCTCCGGCCTGGTTCCGCTTGTAAAAAGCGTGCCGGCAGGCGATCTCCGACGGTTGTGGAGAATAGTGAGCCTTAAGCTTCTCCGTGATGTCAGCGTAGGTGACAGTCTTTATATCAGTTGGGGCCACCAACGACCTGGCTATGTCGAAGGTCCCCTTCCCGCAGGAACTCAGGAGGCATGCTCGTTTCTTCGCCTCATCGGTGATGTCGTGGGTCTCCAGATGGAACTCGAACCTGGACAGGTAGGAGTCCCAGTCTTCTGAGGAGGGTTCGAAGCACTCGAACTTCTGGCTTCCAGCCATCGGGGGAGACTTGGGCACCGGAGCTGGTGGCGCCTCCGCCGGATCGGCTGCTGTGCTCTGCTCGCTTTCTTCCGAGTCCGAAGTGTGGATGTCCGCAGGGCTGCCTACCTGCTCTAACATCCCATCCTCGTCGCCAATTGTTAGATCGCGCTAACAAAGGACTCGTAGAGTGATTCAGCAAGTGATTCAGCTTTATTTAGAAGTAACGAACAAGCACTAACTCAGTAAGAAACCAGAACAGAAAACAGTGGGAGCTTATGCTCCTTTTAAACATAACCGGGCTAATGTAGCCACGCCTATTTACATTTAACAACCAATGAGGTTGCTAGGATAAAGACCAATGGGAGTCTTTCCCTCCTAGGGAATGGTATCGTTCTGATTGGTCGCTGTTACGAAGCGACCAATAGGAAGTTCGCTCAGAGGAGCCCTGGTCTGGCTCGAAGCTTAACATGGGAGTCCTATGAGGTGATTCATGTAATCATTTCAATACATTACAGACTTGATCTGGATGATAAGGGCATTTGCATTCCTCTGTAGGAATTACATCTCCCTTACACCTCAGCTGAGTCTAAGGCATTACACCCGGCCAATAGAAAAACTAATCTAAACTTATGAATTACTAACCAGTGGAAATAGTCTGGAAAGGAAAAATTATCACTGAAGAGTATCTGGAAGAAAAATGGCGAACATTTATGATTTGTGTCCTTGAGCACAAAAGACCAATCTTCATTTAAGATCTTATTTTGAAAATTTTTACTGCTTACTTTCCTAGTACTGTTCTTTTGCAGCCTTAAGTCACTCTATTGGGAGGGAAAGTCTTTTACCTAAATTCCTACTCCAGGTGGACAGAGAGGTATCTGAAATTAACTGAAGCTACTGAGATTTAAGAAATGCAAGAAAGTATGCAGAAGTTTAGCAGGGTCATTAGAGCTGGTTTACATGTTCAGCTATGGGCTGCTGGAGGATCTAGTGTACGCCTCACCCATTCTGACAATGCATAATGTGTGACATGAGCGCAAAAAGCATTTAATTAATCATTAGAATTGTGAGGTGTAAATATTCTCTTTCCCAGAAGAGCACCGAGGGGGGATACGTGATTAACACTAACTTATATATTTATAATTATTTATTTATGTCATTTGTACCCCACCTTTCTCCCCAATGGGGACCCAAAGTGGCTTACATCATGCTCCTCTCCTCCATTTCATCCTCAAAACAACCCTGTGAAATAGGTGAGGTTGAGAGTGTGTGACTGGTCCAAGGTGATCAGTGAGCTTCCATGGTCAAAAATATACATTCACAAGAAGCGGGGACCTGCAATACTTGCCGGGGGGGGGGGGGGGCACGTGGAGGAGGAAGCAGCTGCAGGTGAGCCTTCTCCTTCCCCCACACTGATGGCAAGGCCCGGGCCCGCCAATCCTTCTCCCCCCACCCCCTGCACTGGCAGTGAGGCCTGCGTGGCTCCCAGCTGCTGGGCCTGCCGATCCTTTACCCCTTCCCACCAGCAGCGAGACGCGCAGGCCTACCAAGCCTTCTCCCGCTCCCCCCCCCGGGCACCAGCGGTGAGGCCTGAGTGGCTCCCAGCCACTGGGCCTGCTGAGCCTTCTCCTGCTCCCCATCGGCCAGAGCGTTTTCTGCGCATGCGCAGGGAACGCTTTTACTTTTGGGGGGATTTAAATATCCCCTGTATATTTTTTTCACCTTTTTAATTTTTCTGCACACCTGGGGACTGCTCCAAGTGTGCAGGAAAATCTCTCTGCCCCCAAGTGCCCCCGATGCGCGGATTTAGATATCTGCACAGAGGGGGCAACTTGGCTATTAGATATATAGATGTTAAATGCGTACAAAGATGAGAATGTACAATTTAGCAACATAGCATGCATGATCAAAAATCTTCTCTGCTTTTATAGATTAGTTTGCTGCTCTTTGATGGGATTTGGTTGGTTTGGTGGGATTTAATCTATTTTGTGTGTGTGTGTGTGTGTGTGTGAATTTTTCTGGGTGCCTTGATTGGGCAGAAAGCCAGTGTTATAAATCAATTAAACCTCATTTGTACAGAATTAACAGTCTAATTCTTATCATTATAATGCATATATAATGTGTTTGCTAACCATGAAAACATAAGACTATAGTAAAAGTTAAGGTCAGAGCACTGTTTTTTAGCTCTGTTTGAAGTTCTGTCCATAGAAGCACATAAAAGACTATACTTTTAACTGAACACAGAATTTGGCATAATATGAACAAACAGCTTTTTGCTCAGAATTCTCAGCGTACCATTGTTTAGAAATATGTAGAACACTTAATGCATTATTCTGTGCACTGAGGCTGGGAAATCTTTTAAAAATCACATTTGCTCCATGTGTAATAACTCTTTGTGTCTTGGTCTAAGGAGCACAGCAGTTCTAAGGAATCAGAATGTTAAGTCACTTGAAAGCTCACTATTTATGTTGGGAGCACGTTAATTAACTATGATAACTTGAGGCAAAAACAAATGATCACTCATATAACACTACAAACTACAGGATTCCAAATTAGAAAGAAAATTCAGCAAAAAATAGCAAAAACAAGGTGGAAAAATAATCTGTATCCCGCCCCCCCCATAGAAAGCAGCTAAAAAACCCTGCATTATATATTTTTATTCCAAAATTGGAAATACCAATAGAACAAATTTGAGTCCAGCAGCACCTTTTGGGGCAAAACATATAGTGCTGTGCTTCTAATATTTTTCAACCTTTATTTTTAAACGGGGGGGAGGGGGAACGGACACACACACACACACACACATATATACATATATACATATATATACATACATATACATAAAGGTCTACAGCTATGGGATCTGCTTTAAGAGATCACAAGAAGGGGTAGTTCAACTGCAGCTGCTCCCCCCCCCCAAGTTTCTTTATATCTCAAACATATGCATGTTTATCCAAATGTAAAAATAAACAAGAGTCTCGCAACACCTTTCAACCTAACATTTTATTCCAGAATAAACTTCCTTAGGAGTCACAAGAATGCTGTTTATTTTTGCTGCTACTGACCAACACGGCTACCCCTCTGGAATTACCCAGAAGTAAGTCTCCCAGAGTTCACTTGAGTTTACATGCAAGTAAACATTATTTATTTAAGGGTATTTTTCCAGCAAGCTCGAAGAAACTAACTGCACACAGTCCTAAAAATACTTCCCAGGGAGGAAGCTCAACTGAATAGTCCTGAGGAGGATTCTGCGTAGAAGGATTCTGAAAAGGATTCTGTGTAGACCTGCTCTCTTAAGGTACCAAATACAACATATGTACCCCCAAAAAGGGATTATTTATTCAGCACATTTTTTAACTTCACCATTCCTACAGACTCAGTGAGCTCAGGCTGATGTGTAGTCAGTCCCACTCACTCTCTCAGCCTAGTAAACTCTCACAGGGTTTTTAGTGAGGGAGACCACTCTCCATTTTACCCACCGATTCAAGGTTCAATTGTCACTCTTAAGTGAGCTTCACAACAGACAAGTCATTTGGATCTTGGTCTGATGCTCTACGGACCTGCATAACCCTAGAAGATAGATTCAGGTGGGTAGCCGTGTTGGTCTAAAGCAACAGACCAAAGCTGGAGTCCAGTGGCACCTTTAACACCAACCAAGTTTAATTCTGGGATTAAGCACAGGGTTAAATTTTGTTGGTCTTAAAGGTGCCACTGGACTCAAACTTTGTTCTGACCCCAGAAATGTTTGCTCGGAAGTAATTTCCACTGTGTTCAACGGAACGAGGCTGCACGACAGCCAATAACGGGCTGCAGCCGTGCTATCCTATGCATGCTTTCTCCGAAGCACCATCAAATTCACGCTGGCTGACTCCCAAGGAAGCAAAGACAGCTGCTTCCCACCTTCAAATTACGGACTTCTAGATTAACCCCCCCCGACCTCGCTGCGAGGGAGCGGCTCTGTTACTCGTCGCTGTCAGCAGCTGCCCCGCAGCCCCTCTGGGGGCTCGCGAAGCCACACTGAGGGTCGCCTCCTCACCCTATCACCGACAAGCCTTCACTATGGCACCACGAAAGCGGCAGAGCAGGCCCGCTAGGCCCGTCTTTTGGTTGCTTAGCAACCGCTCTCTCGGGCGCGCGTCCACCGTAAAAAGGATTCCCCCCCTCCGTGTCCC